TAAAAAGTATGGTTGACGGGTAAAAAGTGTGGTAAAACGTTAGGTCTAACATACTGTTTCCTCATCTTTCTTGTACCTCTTGTATTGCCTGCATTAAATTTATACAAATAAATAAATGTAAAAAATATTTGTTTTAAATACATACAGGTTTGTTCCATAAAAAAACCGACAACTGTGCAACAACTTCGCAAGTAAATTCTATCGATTACATAAATAATCTTTGAAATTATTTTAATATTTGATAAGATATTTATTTATTGGATAAAAAGCGATTTTGTTAACGTAATTCACACATATTATCATAATTCACAGGACAAGCTTTGTATGAGAGTCCAAGTCCAAGTCAAAAAAGGTGTCGTATAAAAAATATAGAAAAGTATTGTAATTAGTAATTCAGTATATGATAATTGCGTAAGGTTTTACAACAAATTACCAGTCCGTTCTAAATCTGCCTGAAAATTTCAAATGTCGTATAAAACATAAAGTCTCTGTAAAAACGTGTTTTATAAAATTGAAGAGTTTGAAAATAGTAATTATGTTTTTGTAGAAAAAACTTAAAAGTCATAGCGCTGACAATATTATCTGATTTGACTATGAATGAGTGCGTAGCGGTTTATATGTACTCTTGCGTGTTATTGTGTAATTATTTATTTAAAAAAAACATTTATTCAAGCAATACACAAGTTTCTTGCTCATTCTTCTTGTGTTGAGTCCAAATGAGTGGTAGAATAAAAAAATATGACTATTCAAAAGTGCATGTATTGAATTTATTTGAATAAAAATATTTCTGAATTAAAATTAATTTTTAATTTTACATTGTCGTACTATAAAAGGAATATTCTATAGAAAGTATATCTGTAAAAATATAATTAAAACACAATAATCCATACAATTGACAATGCATTTAGGCAGTTCGTTTAGAAATGGTGAAACATTTAACCCCACTACCGCAAGTTTATTTCATAGCGTATTTCACAAGTTTCAGTACCTCTATCTACCCATACAGTTGATTAATGATCCGTATTTATTCAGGAGCGGTGCCACCCTGTGCCAGTCTCCATTTTTATCTTTACTAATATCATGAACTCTATTCTTATTAGAAAATCATTATGGGAAATAGCTGTACGGTTTTTTACCTTTGAATTCAGCCTCGATATGTAGGATAATGGTATTGGAATGACTTCACGTTAACATCTATGGGTAATAAATTATATTCAGTGATAATTTATAGCTTATGCTGTACTTTTAACGTAGCTGTTCATTTGAAAGGTTCAATATAACTTAATACATGACGGTCTCTCTGGTTTAGCGGTTTAGAACATCGCTTTGCTTCCAATAGTCGGGCTTCGATTCCTCAAACAGTACGAACATTTGTATTCACAAGTTGGATTGTTTGTAACGGTCTGGGTGTTTTCTATATACATTACGTATGTATTTACAAAAACGTCTAAGGATTTTAGTCTTACCTGGAAGGTATCACCTTTATTTTCTGTTCAGATTCTTAATGATTATCTATGTAACAGACTTTATTTAAATCTCATCTTATCATCTTCTACTGGTTCCTCGTCATTAAATCAGCGAACATAAAATAAATAATGATAACTACTGATAAATCCTTAAATAATATAGAAATCGAAATAATCTTATTTTTTTTTATATCATAATTTGAGCGCGTTTGACCGCAATCTCACCTGATGTTAAGTGATGATGTGGTCTAAGCTGTTACACGCAAGCCCAAATAATTCACTCTTGACTTAAAAGACCCAATGTTGTAAGAGGCAGGAAAAATTATTCAAATAAACATATTATAAGCACTTTTGAATAGTCATATTTTATTTTATTCTACCACTCATTCGGAACGCAGATTTATACCTAACAAAAGGAACGAGCGAGAAACCTGGGTGTTGCTCTTTTAAATAAACGTTGTTCAGGGATACATTTTTAAGATTTTGTGTTTCAAATGTACATATGGGGGAATATCGTAGGAGAGTTTTGAAGAATAATCTTATATATACGAGCTGAGTTTCTAGTGAGTTCTTCTCATCTCGAAATCATTCCGAACTGATGGTAGATTTGACATTTCATAAGAGTCTGTAATAGACCTACATGAATATAGATATTTTGAATTTGAATATTATTATTTATTTATTTATTTATCCAAAACAATATAAATTGTGTAGGATAACAGAATATAAAAAAGATTAAATTATTTATTTATATATTATAATCTGTGTAACGTCTTTTAGTCAACTCATTCAACTGTTTTTTTTTAAATTAAAAATAATACGCATAAAACCTCTTTCCACATATCTTACTAATATTACAAACGCGAAAGTTTGTGAGTATGGATGGATGTTTGTGACTCTTCCACGAAAAAACTACTGAACAGATTTTGATGAAACTTTACAGTAATATAGTTTATACATCAGAACATATAGATGAAATAGCGGGCACAGCTAGTATGTTATAATACTGTTGTTCCCTGTCGTGTCTGCGTGTACTAGGACATAAAAGCCCCCCAAATTCCCAAACAGGGAAGTTAGTCCATGTTTTATTGACAGGCACATGGGACGTACGAGTAGATATACCTTCCGTGTAGTATGTTATAAAACCCTTCGCTTTTTCAGTATCCATTTTATTACATTACCATGCATTATAATTATTCAAATGAACTTTTACGTAATATTCCGTACTAGCCGACTCGAGCGAACTTCGTCTGCGTTTCATTTCCGCACCTTTTGCAATATTTTCCATTGCAGCTCCGCTCCTATTGGTCGTAGCGTAATGTTATATACCTTAAAGCCTTCCTCAAAAAATGGACTATCCAACACAAAAATATTTTTTTAATTCTAACTAGTAGTTCCTGAGATTAGCGCGTTCAAACAAACAAACAAACAAACAAACAAACTCATCAGCTTTATAATATTAGTTAGTATAGATAAGTATTATATGTCTTGTGTATTATATACATAGTAAGACATTTATTTTTAAGAAATTAATTAAATGAAATAACTATTGTTTTGTTAGTTTATACTATTACATCTTTGTATTTATTTGTCTATGATTAAGAAATATTTGGTGTTGGTAATTGTATTAAATATTGTTGCTGGCTGTTTCTTTTTTTTTACAAGATACTATATAATGATGTTGTTGTTGATCAAATATAATTTATTCATGTAGGACATTTTAGCTGTTTATGAACGTAAAATTTTTTCTATTAATATTTTTTTCCCTACCGTCCAGTATACAGATTCAATTGAGAAGAACTGGCAAGAAAATAAATGTTTTTTTTAATAGCCAGTTTTTTTACATTATGTACTTATTTATGTCAACATTAAGCGAAAATCACATGAATGAATTATTATTGCCATGCACATTTGTCATTCAAGTAATCGTTTAGTGGTTTAGGCTTTGCTCAATAAATATGATATTTTTAATTTATTTAAACGTAATTACAATATATCTTTTGGTAACGTATTGTAAGTTTTTAAACACATTCCCATAAAAGACCCATTTATAGACTCAAATATAAAATCCATTGCGTAGTTCAAAAAGGATACTTTTTTTACTACATGCATATGAATATAAATACGGTACATACACCAAAATAACATTTTCTACTATTTTTGTCTGTCTGTCTGTATGTTTGTTCCGGCTAATCTCTGAAATGGCTGGACCGATTTTGACTGGACTTTTTTGGCAGGTAGCTGATGTAATAAGGAGTAACATAGGCTACTTTTATTTAAGAAAAATAAAGTTAAATTTCACGCGGACGTAGTCGCGGCTTCAGCTAGTTCTGAATATATTTTCAAACGCGTTGTCAGGGGCAACACTTACTATCACCAGAATTACCTACTTAACAAATGAAGACACATTTTTTCAGGGTTCAGGTCGTTGCCCTACTACCCCCTACCCCTAATCACCATCCTATTCCCGCCCCCTGTTCCAATTTTCGGTTATTGTGGACAAATAGTCACGCACTCGCTATGCTAATTTACATACGAGTTACCTGCGGTTTTGTCCGCTACCGGGATATATCGATTGGTCTGGATAAAAAATAGAATTTAGATCTTTCTGTTAGTTATTTGTAAAATGTGAGTGATTACTATAATTTAGTTATTTAGGGAGTTACCATAGCGTAACGCCTGGTAAATTGCTGTGTGGCACAATAAGCTGACACCGCTACCGGGAACAGCAAATTACCAAGAATATTTACATCTAACTTACATTATTAATTGTTACAAAGACTGCCATAAACAGTCTTTTTAGATCATTATACATAATTATACATTTGTACTTTGATAATTTCATTGTTTTAATTAAATAAAATATATTTTTTAAAACACAAATATCACCCGCCGTAACATAAGTAGGGTTGATCTTATTTTATCTTATTTTGTCTGTTACTAGCAGCCCGTCTCTGCGTCGCATGGGTGTATATTTTAACACCTTGGTTACATTATTAAAATTTTAATCGGAATCCCAATTTTTTTTAAGAAATAAAAGGATATAACCATCCGCTTGACCGTTAACTTATATTCCCTCTTCAAATATCTGCTACCCATATGCCAAATTTCATGACGTTTTGTTTAGACGTTAAACTTACTTTCACACACATTAACTAGTTTTATACCATGGCGTTGCTCGGATGAATTATATCTTCCAGTACTTGTAGATAATAAGATAAAATATTTATCTATCTATGTACAGCTACATTTAACGACATATCGCACACTTATTACGATACTGAACTTAACTGAAAAATTAAGAATTTTGCAAAACACACATTATAACTGTGGTATTAAGGTCTAATTTCAAAAATATTAAAATTTCTTAATTACACAAGTATTGTACTATATATGCGATATATATAGTTATATTCATCATAATGCCTCCATCCATTTTTACGTGTAGGATTTCATGATAGGTAATTTAAAAAATGAGGTTGAATATAAATATTCCGAGTGAGTTGTATGTATAATTTATTTATTTATTTCCAGAGGGAATGTATCTCCGTCCACATCGGCCAGGCCGGCGTCCAGATCGGCAATGCCTGCTGGGAACTGTACTGTCTGGAGCACGGCATCCAGCCTGATGGTCAGATGCCGTCAGACAAAACTCTTGGTGGTGGAGACGACTCGTTCAACACCTTCTTCAGTGAGACTGGCGCTGGGAAGCACGTCCCGAGGGCTGTGTTCGTTGATTTGGAGCCTACTGTTGTGGGTAAGTCTATATAGCATAGGAACATGGTTAAAATAAATAAATAATCCTGGACAATTAACACAGCGCCATCTAGCACCAAGCTAAGCAGAGCTTGTGTTAATACCCAGATAACTGATACAAATACTTAGATTTTTTTTGTAATAAAACATCCATACTGATATAAACAATCATACTCATGAATGTGAGTCTGTACTGTGCGAAGAATCGAACCCGCGACCATCGGAAGTAAAGCGGTGAAGCTAAACCGCTAGACCACCGCACCGTCGCGCGTAATATTTGTTTGTCAAATTTTTATTAAATGGATACAAAAATATATTTAGAGAAGCTTCCTCCTGCGTACACTTAGATTGTGGAAAGAACTTCCTGCCGAGGTTTTTCACGAGACTACAGCATTGGGTTTTTCAAGAAGGATATGTTAAGGTTTCTTAAAGGTCGGCAACGCGCACGTGATACCCCTGGTGTCTCAGGCGTCCACAGGCCGTAATCATTTACCATCAGATGGGCCATATACTTGTTTGCCACCATCATAGTATAAAACAAATACAGTACTTACATAATTTTTTACTGTTTGTTCTTGCTAATCTCTGAAACGGCGGGACCGATTTTGACGGGACTAACTTTCACTCCCAGTAATTAATGTAGTAAGGAGTAGATTATGATACTTATATTAAAAAAAAAAATAGGGTTAAATTCCACTCGGCGATGAATAGGATAATAAAGGACTTAGGATTTATGTTCAGTCACTTAAAAGACTTAATCGATGTTTAGATTATAAATTTAGTGGTAAATAAATGGTACGTGATGATCCGGCTCGAATGCTCAGATGGTCGGTGAGGTTGTCTTCAGCAGATTACAGGGTTGTAGAAATGATAGATTTGCTTATAGTCTTCAATTTAATGGGTAAATACTGTGATAAATTACAATTTTGGTGGAGTGAACAAAAGTAAAATATCAACCGACCGATCTAACGTCGGTTGATATTTTAAGTCTGTACGTTACGTTGCGTATTTAAAATTGGATGGGTGTGCGGTCCAATCAGAACGCTCCGTTTGTGTTGCGTTTTGTTGCTGCTTGTACGCGACAATAAATTATATTAAAAATTAAATTATCTATAATAATAATAATAATAATCTCAGGACAATTCACACAGCGCCATCTAGACCCAAGTTAAGCTAGCTAAAGCTTGTGTTATGGGTACTAGACAACTGATACAAATACATAGATATTTTTTTTTTTTCGTAAATACATACATATTATACATAGAAAATACCCAGACCGATACAAACAATCATACTCATGAATACAAATGTTTGTGCCGTGCGAGGAATCGAACCCGCGACCATCGGACGTAAAGCGGTGTGCTAGACCGCTAGACCACCGAGGCCGTCATATCGTATATTCTATAAATATAAGGTTTTTATATTGCACACCACAACCACACATACGAATTGCAACAAGAAATTGTAAATAGGATAATAAAGGAGTTACGGGTTCATTTCATTTATCAAAGAAAAATTATACAATGTTTCAACAGGCTGAAGTAGTTTGCTAATAACATTAGTAAATATATCCGAACAATACTATGCGATATAGCTAAGCCATTGTTTCGACTTTCAATAACAAATTAAACAATAGTAGGTAATACATTTAATTCCTACCATCAGGCAGTGTTGCCTATAAAATTTCTAGTGAGATAATAGATCGCGTCGGGTATTGAACTCGTAGCCTAGCGTGATCCGTTATTATCGTACAACAACCTGTCATTATACCTATCTAAAATTAAAATTAACACCCCAGTGGACTCGCGGTTTAGCACACTGTTCTTACCTTTCGGGAGTGCAGACTTCAATCCTTATAGAGTTCTTTGTCTTTCGATTCAGTTTAAACATATTTGTACCAAAATTTTAGGGCGTATCTTTCGGAAGTCCAAACTTCAGTCAAATTCAAAACATCTATATTCAGGATAAAAATAGAAAACACCCAGGCCGATACAATCAAGCATACTTGATTGCTTGGCTTGGCTTGATTGTATCGGTCTGGGTGTTTTCTATTTATATTATGTATGTTTATTTATTTTAGGTAATAAACAGCTTATACAATTTATAGACAATACATAGTATTACCACAGATAACATAATATGTATTACTTAGTTAGTAAAGCCAATAACAGATACCTCATGAATTTATCTTTAATATTAAAGTTATATTTAAATTGGTTATTTAAAACAATAAACATCTAAACCGGTCAGAGCCATGTTAAATACATACATAATATAAAACAATATCTAAGTATTTATATCAGTTGTCTAGTACTCGTAAAACTCGCTCTGCTTACTGTGGTCCTAGATGACGCTGTGTTAAGTGTCCAAAAAAAATTAAGTCAGTGGATATCTAACCGTTAACCAAACGACAGTAATAGTCTTTATTAAATAGACAGATTATAATCGTTATTAAAATAAACTTAATATGAACACTTCTGAATAGTCATATTTTATTCTACCACTCATTCGGAACGCAGACTCATCACAAGAAAAATGAGCAAGAAACTTTCGCGTTGCTCTTTTACATAAACGTTGTTCAGAATTATATTTTTAAGAATTTTGTGTGAATAAAAAATGACAAACAGCAAAGTTGATATAAAATATTTAAATACTTTTTTGTAATCATTGTTATTAGCTAGCTTTAAAAGGAATGGTGACCATTTTCGTACTACAGGAATAAGAATAGAACTAGCGATTTTTGATGGATGATTTGATATGAAATGACAGCGGCAGACAGCTTTCATTCCATAGATATTCATCAGATAACTTTAAATGAATATGTTCACACTTCGATCATCTCAATAGATCCACTGACAGCTTGACAGTCAACCAAATTGATGAAATTCAATTTATAAAATGGCTTACTGCTAAATTGCGCTACAAATATTGTGGCAACACTGCCTTTTTTGTTACTGTCTTTCTTTTTACTGCCAATTATATTGTATTTTTCTTTTTTTTCAAATTCAAAAATCATTTGTTCTTGTAGGACATTTTATCCGCTTATGAACGTAAAGTTTTTTAAATTATAATTTTATTTTTTTTTAACTCAATTGAATTAATTTTTTTTAAAGCCACTTTTTTTTATTTACGATGTATAGGTTTCTATGTCTAACATTAAATGAAAATCAAATGCATAAACAACTGTTGCCATGCACGCTCGTCATTCCAGTAATCGTTTAGTGAGTAATAGGCTTTGCTCAGTAAATATAATTTAACAGATGTTTTGAATTTTTTTAAGGGTAATTCCAATATATCCTTTGGTATCTTATTGTAAATTTTATACCTATTCCGATAAAAGACCTATTGACTTTTTCTAAACTATACTTGGGGATAGCAAGTTTGTCTTTAAATATAGTATTAATATTATGAATATTGCTGCTTTTTGGAATTAAGACAATATACTATACATAAAAATAATCTCTTCAAAATAATATCCTAACTGCTACCCACGACTTTGTCTTTGCCGCTTTTCTTTTAGATAAAAGATATGGCCCTCAATCAGGTCAGGTTTGAAACTTATAAAATAGTTAAGGTAGTTGAATTATGAAGCCTTCTGAACGTCAGCTGCGGTTTCGAGGGTAGGTTGAGGAACAGAGCCCTATTTTTTTAATATAAATAGGCATTATAAGTTACAACTTTAAAGTTCATTTCAATTTTTAATTAGGAAATGTATTTTAACAGATTGTCTCACTACATGACGTACAAAATGTAGAGAGCTCTATCAGTAGCCTATGTCTATCCTCAAGGTTCTTCTATAATCTCTATAAGCATAAAGATTCCTTTAATACTTGTGCCATGAAGGTGACAAGCAGACAGATAGACATTTTTTCTGATTTATAATTTAGTATGAATATTTTTTAAGCTTCTTGTTTAACTCAAACGCAATACCATGTCGTCTTATATAGATCGTGAGTTCTATACGTCCTTTAAGCTTTGTGTTACAATTTACGAGTGTATTTTTGACTAATTCTCAGGTTATATCCATAGAGATAAGTAACAAACAAGGTTTTCAATTATATAACAAACATTTGTACATATCTATCATATTTAATTATATACGAGTTATTAAACTCGCATACTCAAATACTTACATCTAGTTCAATCTTGATCTAATTGAATTGAAATATAAACTTTATAAATACATGCAAGTCGATTTAAAATAGTCTTTATTGTAAGCACCGTAAGGCGTACCATTAATGACTAAATAAATTGTTGAGACGAGATCCCATCTCGACGCTCAAGAACTTGCTTTGTGTCTCATTATCTTTATGAACGTTTTGGATTCTTGGAATGAAGCTCGAAAGCAATTAGTCTAGAGTGCGTCTCGACACATCTGTCTACATTGAACTACTTATTAGACTTTCTTACTTATACAGTCATTCTTTCACTTCATACATATAACGACCCCGACCATTATGTAGAAGGATTTTTTTTAGTGGATGATAATGGAATACACAAAGTCCACACCACCCACCTGCGCTAACGGTTTACGCTGGCGGGGCACCAGTCGAGGATGATAAGATGAACATGAAGTCAGACCAGTTAGCCCAAAGTGAAAATTTCACCGGGAATTTATCACGATGGTTTTCAGGGTGAACCGCGTGGAGGTCGACCTAGCATGGTACATTGCTAGCAATGGGATCATTAGTCCACATTACTAACAATCCCCTCCCCTCCCAACTATTGAAATAAAAAAAAAGAATATAAACTTTTTTTTTTGTTCTTAAGCTAGGTTACGTTAGTTATGTGTGAGCTTGCGAGATTCATTCATTCATTCAAAAATCTATTTTGAATTAATGAATAAAGCTCGCAAGCAATTAGTCTAGAGTGGGTCTCGGTACATCTGTCTGTACTAAATTAATTATTAGACTTTTACACTTATACAGTAATAATACTTTGACCCGGTATTACCATTTTTTAGGAGAAGGATTATATGCTTACAGACAAAATAACTGGAACTGAAAAATTTTTGGAGAAAAATCTTGTATAGAAATTATTATTAAAAGCGATCAAGTATTTTTCTAACGACAGCAAACGTAAAATAAAATCTTGATCATATTCGTTTCATGTTTACAGACGAGGTTCGAACCGGCACGTACCGGCAGTTGTTTCACCCCGAGCAACTGATCACTGGTAAGGAGGATGCAGCCAACAACTATGCCAGAGGTCACTACACCATTGGCAAGGAGATCGTCGATGTGGTCCTCGACAGGATACGCAAGTTGGCCGACCAATGCACTTCTGCATTTTTCACGCTAAATTTCTAATCAAACTTTTTATTTTTTATTGTTAAGAATAATTATAATTAATTGGACAATTTTTTAACGCCATCTAATATACATGGTAAGCAGAGCTTGTGCTATGGGTACCAGACAACTGAAATAAATACTTTTTTTTAAATACCTACATAATACACATACGAAAATATCCATACAGATACAAACAATCATACTCTTGAATAAAAATGTTTGTGCCGTGTGAGGAATCGAATATACCATCGAAACTAAACCGCTAGACCATCGAGGCCGTCAAAATAATAATAAATAAATTAATAATAAAATAGTGGGCAAGTGTGTAGTTCTGCCTACCAAATGTTTGATCAACTTGTTTTATACGATAAAAAAGTTTCAAATAATCCTAATTTATAAAATGTTATAATTTTTAGACAAAAAAAATATTTAGTGTTACTACGAATATACTATTCATGTTTAAAATTTCTTACAATTTTTTTTATTTTTTAAGGAAATCTAAAAAATGTATACTTATCTTTCAGGGATTCCTGGTGTTCCACTCCTTTGGTGGCGGAACCGGTTCCGGGTTCACGTCCCTGCTGATGGAGCGGCTCTCCGTTGACTACGGGAAGAAGTCTAAACTGGAGTTCTCCATCTACCCTGCACCTCAGGTGGGTGATAGATCTTCAAACACACCCAATCTTACTAATATTATAAACGCAGAAATGAATGTATGTATGTATGAATATGGATGGATGGTTGGATGTTTGTTACTCTTTCAAACCAAACCTATTTGGTTAAGCCATGGATGACGGATTATGAAGGATTTGGATTTTGATGAAAGTTTATTGAAGAATGATGATGCATGATGAAGGATTTGAATTTTGATGAAAGTTTATTGAAGAATGATGATGCATGATGAAGGATTTGAATTTTGATGAAACTTTATTGAAGAATGATGACGCATGATGTAGGACTTGAATTTTGATGAAAGTTTATTGAAGAATGATGACGCATGATGAAGGATTTGCATTTTGGTGAAACTTTATTTAAGAATGATGATGCATGATGTAGGATTTGGATTTTGGTGAAACTTTATTTAAGAATGATGATGCATAATGTAGGATTTGGATTTTGGTGAAACTTTATTTAAGAATGATGATGCTTGATGTGAATCTTTGATTTTGGTGAAACTTTATTTAAGAATGATGATGCTTGATGTAGGATTTTGATTTTGGTGAAACTTTATTTAAGAATGATGATGCTTGATGTAGGATTTGGATTATGATGAAAGTTTATTGAAGAATGATAATGCGTGATGAAGGATTTGAATTTTGATGAAACTTTATTAAAGAATGATGATGTATGATGTAGGACTTGGATATTGATGAAACTTTATTAAAGAATGATGATGTATGATGTAGGACTTGGATATTGATAAAACTTTATTTAAGAATGATGATGCATGATGAAGGATTTGGATTTTGATGAAACTTTATTTAAGAATGATGATGCATGATGTAGGATTTGGATTTTGGTGAAACTTTATTTAAGAATGATGATGCATAATGTAGGATTTGGATTTTGATGAAACGTTATTTAAGAATGATGATGCATGATGTAGGATTTGGATTTTGATAAAACTTTATTTAAGAACGCAATAATGCGCTCTCTCGTTCTCTTTGTCTACATACACATTCTTCCCCGTGTGAGAGCGTACGTGTAAAGGCAACTATTGTCCCGAACTTCCAGGTGTCTACAGCGGTGGTGGAGCCATACAACTCTATATTAACCACGCACACCACTTTGGAGCACTCGGACTGCGCGTTCATGGTCGACAACGAGGCCATCTACGACATCTGTCGGCGGAACCTCGACATCGAGAGACCAACATACACCAATTTGAACAGACTTATTGGACAGGTATGTTAAATCTATATTAAAAAGATGGATGCTGTAAATCTATACATATAAATAAAACTGGAGTGTCTGTTTGTAATATTGAACTAACCGTTTTTTATTACATGCATATGAATATAAATACGGTACATACACCAAAATAACGTTTTACAATTTTTGTCTGTCTGTTTGTTCCGGCTAATCTCTGAAATGGCTGGACAGAATTTGACGGGACTTTTATTGGCAGGTAGATGATTTTACTTTAGAATAATAAAGTTAAATTCCACGCGGACAAAGTCGCGAGTACAGCTGGTATATAATAATAAGGAATCTCCATGTCAACGTACAGATAGTATCGTCCATCACGGCGTCGCTGCGTTTCGACGGCGCTCTCAACGTGGACCTGACGGAGTTCCAGACCAACTTGGTGCCGTACCCGCGGATCCACTTCCCGCTGGCCACGTACGCGCCAGTTATCTCGGCGGAAAAGGCCTACCACGAGCAGCTCACCGTCGCAGAGATTACCAACGCGTGCTTTGAACCCGCCAATCAGGTAGAGTATTGTCTGCCTTTACACGTCACGTTCCTCACGTAGAGTGCCTTTACTCGACACGTTCTTCACGTAGTGTTTTACACGACACGTTCTAGATGTAAAGTGCCTTTACACAACACATTCTTCACATAGAGTGCTTTTACACGATACGTTCTTCACGTAGAGTGCCTTTACCCGATATGTTCTACACGTAGAGTGCCTTTACACGACACCTTCTTCATTTAGAGTGCTTTACAAGACATGTTCTTCACGTAGAGTGCCTTTACACGACACCTTCTTCATTCAGAGTGCTTTACACGACACGTTCTACACGTAGAGTGCCTTTACACGACACCTTCTTCATTCAGAGTGCTTTACACGACATGTTCTTCACGTAGGGTGCCTTTACACGACACGTTCTAGACGTAGAGTGCCTTTTACACGACATTTTCTTTATGTAGTGCCTTTTACACGACATGTTCTTCATTTAGAATGCCTTACACGACACGTTCTAGACCTAGAGTGCATTTTACACGACATGTTCTTCACGTAGAGTGCCTTTACACAACACGTTCTTCATTTACGGAATGCCTTTTACACGACATGTTCGTTCTAGACCATAGTACCATTACACGATACGTTCTTTACGATCAGAAAGTCAATTTACAATAAGATTAGTTTAGCTGTTTAGTCGTGAAAAGTTAAGAAATAAACAGAAAGATATACAATTTCATATATATTACTAGATAGAGATAACTGGGTTAAACATATTTTTTTAAATATTTTAATTTGCAAGATAGACATCACTAAAGTTAAATTGAAAATACTATGTGAATAGAGTCGTTTTTAGAATACATGAAATTAAATATGAATAATTATTTATGTTTGCTCATTTAATAAAATGATTTTAAATTTATATTTTTCTTTTCACAGATGGTGAAATGCGATCCACGACATGGTAAATACATGGCCTGCTGCATGTTATACAGGTACATACAAAAAATCCGTCATCATTTCTTACGTCATATAAAATATACCTATTCGGTTCTTAGGTATATACATATAAAACAGTTTGTCTGAGCTTTTGCTGCAGACAAACTACTGATCAGTTTTGCGGCTTAATGTTTATATTTTATTCTGTACAAATTTTACTGTAAAAATAAAATTAAATCTATTCATTTCTTTCATACAATCATATAATAACAAATGCATATTCGTTTTTTTACATAGGGTACATGTTATATATATATGTATATATACTATGATTCTATATCAGTTGTCTAGTACCCACAAGCTCTGCCAGTGAGACTAGATGGCGCTGTGTCAATTGTCATGGGATATTATAATTCTCTGTAATAGACCTAATCACGTACATTATTTAGTTCCTACAAAGTATCTTAACTTAACTTACTCTTCATTTTATATATTTAAAGTCAATAATATCATCATCAAGATTGCTATTTTTATTTTTCAAGTGGCTCCACTGAAAATCAGCGCTGCAGTGATACACTGCGGCACCAGCTGAGTGGAGGCCCTTTCAGCTCATAGCAGAATATTACTTTTTAAGTTTTCTATATTTTTTCTCTGCATCATGATGCTGAATTTTTTTTTAATATTATCGTAAAGATATACAAGTATAATCTAAGGTCCTCTCTTGTGTAATTTCGTATTATTAACCCGAATACGATTTTTTTCTGGTTGCAGAGGAGATGTGGTACCAAAGGACGTGAATGCTGCAATCGCAACCATCAAAACGAAGAGAACCATCCAGTTCGTGGACTGGTGTCCCACCGGTTTCAAGGTAGGGTACCAAAGCTACAGCTGTTTGATCGTTCGGATTGAGATGCGGTTTTTTGTTGTTTTTTTTATAATTTTAGTCGTTGTTTCGTACTTATCTAATACTTATAAAAGAACCTAATTTTAATTGTTTATTTAAATTCTAAACCAAAAGCATTAAAATAATATAGATACCAATTATATATTAATTGGTTTAAGTTTCATTTTTTTTTAATTTTATTACGTAATTACTGGAAGAAATCTCTATTTAGCGATAAAGCCGCATATTGTTACTTCTATATTGTTTTTTTTTTAATTTGTTATACTTATTAATTTATATAATAATTATATTTTTTCTGTGAGAGGAACAATAAAGAGTTTTTCATTCATTCATAGGTACTGTGATAGAGTGTTTAGTAATATTTGATTTTAAATGTGAATAATGATTTTAGTATATAGTACTTACATTTAAAATCACCTGTACACGTGCAGGTGGGCATCAACTACCAGCCACCAACGGTGGTGCCGGGCGGCGACCTCGCCAAGGTACAGCGCGCCGTCTGCATGCTGTCCAACACCACTGCCATCGCTGAGGCCTGGGCCAGGTATCTACCCTCAGACGTACTCAATTCCAGCTATTTATTTGTACCTACACTTGTAATATTTCTATCAACACTCACACCCTTCAGTTAGTTTAGGTCTCCACATTAAATAGATTTAAGTTCAGTGTAAAACAGTCCAGGTTTGTCTGATAGATGATAATGGAATGGTGCGTCTGCGTTAACGGTTTACGCTAGTGGGGCACCAGTGGATGATGATGAGTATGAGGTCAGGTCAGTTAGCTCATCGTGGTAAATTCACCATGAATTTGTCACGATGGTTTCCAGGAACCACATTGACGTCAACCTTGAGCAATGTACTATACATTGCTAGCAAGTCCACATTGCTAACGATCCCTTTCACCTCAATAATTAAATATTTTATCGCTATGAATAGTAGACGATATCATTAATAAAAGCATAAAAAATTGAGTTTTTTCCTAGTTCTTCTCAATTGGATCTACATATATACTGAACTGGACGGTAGGGAAAAAAATATAACTTCTAGATCATCAACCACTTTATTTCTGTACAATGAAACAGTTTAGTCACGTATTATCATTTATATTAAATATGTATAAAGGCAATATTTTTCAAATTGCTTTCATTTCATTTTTAATTTATTTTAAACTTACGATTACCCGTCGAATGTACGCGTTACTAATAAGCCATGTAGCACACTATCCAATAAACTTGATTTAATCTTATTGTATATTTATATTTGACCCCAATAAATTAGTGCTAGTTGGTGGTTTGTATTCACACGTTTCGACTTGTAAATGTAAACTTACAAGGATTATTTAAAAGAGCAACACACAAGTTTCTTGCTCGTTCTTCTTGTGATGAGACAGCTTTCCGAATGAGAATTAAAAAAAAATGTTATGACTATTCAAAAGTGCTTAAATTGAGTTTATTTGAATACAGGATTTTCTATTCTATTGTAACTTACTAATGTACAATAAATAGTACAATTATTTCACCTGTATACTCACTACCTACAATCTACAATAAACAAATTAGTTAGCGCCACCTCATCACATCATAGTTAACACTACAGTGGTGAGGTGATATCCACCGCGTTACACATTCATTCATAATTTATGATCTTATATTCATCTTAATATCCACTGGTGCCCCGCCAGCTTATCCCGTTAGTGCAGGTGGGTACACCATTCCATTATCATAGATTAAAACAATAGTAACTACACTTGTGTCATCTCGCTCTTCCATATCTATAACGTATACAATACCATCTTTACCATAAGGGCACCCGGGCCCGTGCACAGAACCCCATTCTCAGGGGGCCTCCGAAGGACTGACGATTTTTCTCACACATTTATTCTGAAAAGATTTTTATCGGGCACACTACACTTTTTTCACAAATCAGAACGTATTTACAAGGCATATACTACGCCATTATACCGATTACTTCGCCTATTCCAATGTTCTTATACCTAAAGAACTTTTTTTTTACTTTCCAAAAGAGCCCCGAATTCTTGTGTGCCCAAGGCTAAAAGGTAAAGCCTAGTTTAAGATGGCGGTGACCGTATAGGTAGTTATAGTTTAGAGCAATAAGCACTGTATTAATTTTCCAATTGGAAATTTCCGTAATATATTTGTAACCTCGTAATCAATTTGTAAATATAAAAAATTTAAAATTATGAATAAAGTGTGCCTGTGGTTTCACCCGCGTCAATTTTCAATATAAAAATATAGCCTATATGTTATTCTGATACATAAACTATATTACTGTAAAGTTTCATCTAAAACAGTCCAGTAGTTTTTGCGTGAAATAGTAACTAACATTCATACTAACAAACTATCGCGTTTATAATATTATTATTAAAAAAATATATTTTTATTGCCAGATTGGACCACAAATTCGACCTTATGTATGCAAAACGCGCCTTCGTCCACTGGTACGTCGGCGAGGGTATGGAGGAAGGTGAGTTCTCCGAGGCTCGGGAGGACTTGGCGGCCCTCGAGAAGGACTACGAGGAAGTCGGAGTAGACTCCACTGAAGGAGAACTCGACGAGGAGAATGAATATTAAGGACTTAAATAGAACACGCAGGATCGTGATTTTTCCAATTAAAATGGCACTAAATTTTGTACGCTTTTTTATAGGAAATAATAATTCATTCATTTAGAACAGCGTTTCTTAACCTTAAGTCCACGGACACCTAGAAAGCCACGCTTATTTTAAGTCCTCTTCATTAAATAAAAACACTCGAAAAATGTCGGACAATTTATTTCAGTTCTGCAAAAAATAACTGTTCTAAAGAAGCGTAAAAATTACGAGACTTGTTAGCAATTATTTATTTATTAAAACTTCTATAGATAACAGGGCTTTACCCCGTTTACGGTACCCCATACACATACTCGCGGATCCCAGGGCTCCGCAGACGTTAGGTTAAGAAATTCTGATTTAAAATAACAAGTACGGGAACAAATATATATATATATATATATATATATATATATATATATATAATAGTGAGACTGTTGGTATGAATGTAGAATGCTTAATAACAGTACAAACTTTTGGAAAATAACTTTCAACACTGAAATGTAAAGTTTGCATCTGTGATTTCTCGTTTGCGCATTAAGGTTTTTATATGCATTTATTAATTATTAAGACGTGATAATAAATTAACAACGTAATCGTATTGGTCTGTAGGTTAGTTTAATACATTTTTATATGATGTAATTTAACTTATTGTGATTAATTTTATCTTGCTTCTCGGAGCGATGTAACTGTGTAATTGGATATATTATTTTAATGCACAATAAACTTTTTCACATAAATATCTACTCGTTTTTCTCATATCACGTTTTGATAATTTCATATACCTGTACCTACATTTAAGCGGAAAAGGAGTGGCCATGAAGCAATGTTTAAATACCTATGAATAAATTACCAATAAGCAGTAAAACGAGAAAAAAGTGTAGACTAGTAAAGAGGAAAAAGATATTTTATTTTTTGATTTTCAAAATATTAGAGATGCCTAAACTGCATCCATGCCCGCCCGCATTTCATCCGTATGAAATTTGTAGCCTATATTATTCTGATGTACAAGCAACATTATATAAAGTTTCATTAAATTCATCCAGTAGTCTTTGCGTGAAAGAGTAATAAACATCCAACTATAAATACTCACAAACTTTCGCGTTTATAATATTAATACATTAATTCATTCATAATTTAAGAGCTACGCTCTTGTCGGTGGAGCTCTTGCCACTTTCCGCGATCTTCCATCATGCTCTTTAATTGTTGATACGACACGACTCCCATTTTGTCTTGAACATATTAGTTCAACGGCGTATCCAGGGGGGGGGGCGTCATAGGGGTCATGCCCTGAGCTAGTTCCAGGACTTAAATGGACCACTAATTGAACATAATGTTTTTTTTTATTTTAAAGCCATACAGATTTTATGTAACTACATACCTTCAATATTTCATTAATTTAATATAATGTAATAACTTTGTACATTATTAAAATACCTACTTTTTACTTGTATCTATTGTTACCAAAATTAAATTATAAGTTCTTGACTTGACCACGGTTATGTGACCCCCTCCTGGCGCCAAAGCTGGATCCGTCCTTGAATATATTTGATGAAGCTGTGCCTTGATCTTCCCCTGCCTATTTTTCCATCAAAAATAATTTTCATGAAATCCTGCCGTATCAAGTGTCCCAACATTTTTCCTTGTCTATTCTCTATTGTAAATATTAGTAAGATACTAAAATGAAAATAAAAACAATTTCAAGTACATAATTTTATTTGTATAAAACATTAATTATAAAATCGATTAAAACAATTCCATCTTGACAACTATATACAAAATACACATCTGCACTTATACATACCTACACACAATATATACAATTACCGTTGACGCAATCTTAAATACAATTGATACTGTATTTAAAGTCAGTCAGTAAATACTTGGTGAACAAAATTATTATTAAATTTACAATTACAATCAAAACGTGCACTGCATTATTAATACGTGTACGCGAATCTCAATTTCATGTTAATCATATCACATAGGTAATAAAAAAATATAATATAAAAACTTGACGTTCATAAGCGCCTAAAATGTCCTATATGAATAAATGATTTTTGAATTTTGATTAGATAATTATATATATATATAATGTTAACAATATATGTGTTTACACTATACACTCTTTCACGCGATCTCCTGATTGCGCGCGCGATTAGCGCGGGAAAGGCAGCGCGCGCAATCGTGGGCATTTAACTCTTTTTGGGTGATTAACTATTATGCGTGATTCCACGTATATTTTACTTTCATTAAAAATGTATTTTTTTATTCCATATATTTTATACAGCAAATAAATATTGCAGATTTATAAATTATTAATAACTGTATAATTATGCCTTTGCTCAATAGACACATGTCCGCCATTTTGTGATATTAATAATTAAATATTATTGCAAACGTGGTAAAGCACGGAAATATGACGGAAAGCGCTCACTGGCGGCTCGAGCGGTTTTTCTTGTTCTCTTTGTTAACGTTTGTATGTTTATTCTTTCCTACGTGCCGATTCGCGCGTGAAAAAACATTAGTGTAATGGTAGATAATGACTATAACAAAACAATATTTGTATTTCCAGTAATTCTGATCTGAAAATATCTTGAATTGGACGGTAACATAAAATTTTTAAAACAAAGACTTGCATTTGGATAAAATGTCGTACATTAAAAACAATACTATTTAAATATTATCACAAAACAAAAAAATATAAAAATAATACTATACACTACACACTGTAGTAATTATTGAGTTAGAACCAAAGCCTATAAATAAATATATTATCAACTATCATAAAATATATGAAAAATCATCATTTCATGAATGGCAAACAAGTCGATTGCAAAGACAGCATACACAGCAAGCCGCTTGGCGGCTCAAATAGTTAAGATAGGTGACGGCCTCGGTGGTCTAGCGGTTTAGCATACCGATTTACGTCCAATGGTCGGGGTTTCGATTCCTGGATGATACAAACATTTGTACTCATGAGCATAATTGTTTGTATAGGTTTACTATGTGTTTACAAAAACAAATCTAAGTATTTTAGTTATCTAGTACCCATAACATAAGCTCTGCTTAGGTTGGGACTAGATGGCGTTGTGTGAATTATCCAGCGATATTATTATTATAGTACATACAGGGAAATCCACGCAGAGGACTATACAAAGCCTACCTCGTAAAAACTCTACCCTTTATAATTCTATAATGCACCAAGTACCTATTACACTAACTATTATACCAACAAATCAAATTAAAGTATCTGTTGGTAATTTCAAATTAACATCTTTTCACTAAATGCATATGTAATTTATATACTTACATTTGCATTTAGTGAAACGCGGTACTTACATAAAAAAATTAAAAATATTTGTCTCTGTCTTTCTGTTCCTGCTAATTTCTGAAACCCCTGGACCGACTTTGGCGGTACTTTCACTCGTAGATAGCAAAAGTTATAAGAAGTAACTTAGGCTACTTTATATTAAATATCTTATTTATTTCCATTAAAAAAAAGCTAATTCCACACGTACAAAGTCGGGTAATAGCTTGTAATAAAAAATGATTTTTTTTTATTTTAAGTTCGTAAAAATAGGAAGCCATACTTTAAAATTATTTGAATTTATAATTAAAAATATGTAAGCTACAAACTAGAACTCCCTGTACAATCCTGACCAGAAACAAAAGCACTCAATAAATGCACATATGTATGACACACCGATTTCATAAGTATCCGATAACTATACATCCATACATTCACTTTTTATAAGTTATTCAGTAACTACAAGTTACTGAGTTACATAGCATTAAAAAACTCCCTACGATTAGAATAGTCAAAACTATTCAGTTATTATTCGAACAAGCACTTCCGCGAATTCTGCAATAGACAGGGTAAAGAGGATGTATGGGCTGTCACAAATAGAATAATTAAGACAGTACCCGCACCGCAACCTCCGACCACAATACAGAAACCCGATGGAACCTTCACCCAAACCCCAATTGAAACCACAGAAGCTATTCTTCATAAATTCTTTCCTGACGATACGCCGGACACACCTGGCAGGTGGGCTCACCTGAAACATAGATTAGAGTCAAACCTACCCCCTCCTAGTACCCTAATAAACCCCCTTTCACCAAAGATGAAATCCTCCTAGCTGCTAAAGACAGTAATCCCAAAAAATCTCCCGGATCAGACCACCTTACCGCCGACATCATTGTTGCAGGCGTCGAATCCATTCCCGACGTAATCACAGCCGTCATGAACCTTGCGATAGGACATTTCCCTACGATTTGGAAGTCGCACGAATAAAACTGATCCCAAAAAATGGTCATCAGAGTAATGCCAATAGTCTTACCTCTAGACCAATAGGACTCCTCAATATCTCAGGAAAGCTATTGGAAAAACTCATCATGCAACGCCTCACTCATCACATCTACACCACAAATGTCAACAACGCTCGCCAATATGGATTCAAACCCTAAGTTTCCACCGCACACGCTTTGGATAAAGCCATTAATAAAATCAAAACAGCCTCAACATCCGGTAACCAAGTCCTAGCCGTGTCGCTCGACATCAAAGTCGCCTTTGATCACGCTTGGTAGGCTAACATCTTGAACAGACTTCGGTTCATCGGCTGCCCCAGAAACATCTACGGGGTTCTGGCCAGCTATTTGGGGGACAGAACAGTTTCATTAAATCTGGCAGATGCCTCAGCCGCCAAACCACTGTCGAGAGGTTGCATACAGGATTCTGTATGTGGGCCGGCAATGTGGAACCTGGTCCTGAACGGGTTTTTCGACCTGAGCCTTCCGGAAGGATGCCATCTTCAAGCATTCGCTGATGATGTGCTCCTGATCGTTCAGGCGAAAAGCGCGGCCAGACTACAGGAGACCGCGGATGAGGCTCTGCAACAAATTCATAACTGGGGTTTGGATTCCAAGCTCTCATTCACGGTCACATCATCCAATTTCATAATCAAATCAAATTACTCGGAGTCATCATCGATCGTAAACTCACCTTCATCCGACATGTCAATCACATCATCGACAAGTGTAAAAAACTGTACCATAAACTCATTAAATTCATTCGTCCCACATGGGGAGTCAGCCCCGGAAACATTAGAACCATCTATCATCAAGTCATTGAACCCATCATCTGACAAGCTTCCGGAATTTGGACCATAAACTCTCAAATTCAAACACTGCCAAACCAAACTCACCTCATTATAAAGATCACTCGTAATCACCATTATTAGAGGGTTCAGGACAATCAGCACACCTGCGGCTATTGTCCTGGCCGGTCTTCATCCCATATGTGGTAGGGTTCGGGCGGCAGCCCTACAGGCACAGCTAGCTCGGGTGCGCAGAGTTGCCGGAATTCTGCCACATGACATTCCACTCGATTCACCTACTCCACCATCCGGTCTCCTACATCCTAGGTAGAGAAGGGGATCACCTTCATGGAAGCCGACTCTGCCGAGGAACTCACTCAAATTCTCGACTCCACCTCATTCACCTGCTACACCGATGGTAGCAAACATCACGGCAAGGTCGTTATCCGGAACCCGAGCGGCTCTACAGTTCTGAGCAAGAAGCTCAAACTGCATGATGTCTGCTCGGTGTTTCAAGCGAAGATGGCCGCCATTGACCAAGCATGTCAACTCATTATCACTAAAAAATTCTCATCCGCAATCATTCTCACGGACAGGAAATCATCACTGATGGAACTGTCCAATCATAACAGCACCAATCAACTTTGCCATAACATCTTCCAATCACTTCATCAAGCCAAACTTCATAACATCAACACCATTCATTTGGATCCGTTCACATATCGGGATATCTTGTAATGAGGAGGCCAACCTCGCGGCCAAATCAGCAGCCAACTCATCCCCCTCGTTCTGCAAATTAGAGGACTTGTACAATACCACAGACAATTGCCAGTATACCAAGCAGTGGTGCAGCAAATTACGCTGAGCTGCCGCTTGTGGTACAGGCCTTCCCCCCAAACTTTCATTTCACCCAGTTTCTCACCGGTCCTTCATACTCGAAATCATACCTAAAACGGATCACCTCCGATGACAAATGCCCCTACAACGATGATGATGAAACCCTGAAATGATGCTCCGCAAACTATGGAGTATCTCGTTAAGGAGTGCCCGAGGTTTGGTCCCACGAGGCTCGACCATGAGACAGCCTGTAGCATGGTTCGGGTCTCAGAACCATTCCATCTCCCATCCATCATCAAACATCAATCAACCATCGACACTTTCACATCACACATCTCATACATCATTCACAACCTTAAACATTTTAATCAGGCGTAATCATCATCACTAACATTCCCATACCATCATCATCAACATTCTCATACCATCATAAACAACATCTCCATACCATCATCAACTACCAACATCTTCATTGATTTGTTATTTTGTTCTTTGTTATTTATTATGTTTTACGTTTTATCGTTGTTTTGTTCTGTTCTGTTATTTTTTGTTGTTTGTTTTATATTGTTTTGTTTATCCTTATTATTCTTTTATCTTCTGTTACTTATAAAATCAATATGTCACATAATAATATATAAAAATAACATAATATTTCAATAATATATCTCAAACTACACTCCTAAGAAAAACATAAATATAAAATTATTTTCAAACTCTGCTGAAGCGAGCGTAAACCGTAGGCGCAAACGCTGAAGCATATGGAGTAACTAAATCTTCTCAAATAAAAAAAAAGTACTAAGTAACTACAAGTTACTGAGTAACTACAATTTACTGAGTGACTACATGTTACTGAGTAACTACAAATTATTGAGTAACTTACAGTTACTGAGTAAATCGGTAACTATTAGTAATTCCCGATAGGGCCACGACACTATTGAAGGATCTCAAAAAGCTGGCAACATAGACAATAATATTATGTCAAATTTGTCTCTGAGGTAAAAAAAAACGCATCATAGTGATAAAAATTGGCAGACATTATTTTTCTTTGTCACAGTATTGCGTTATTATTAGATATTAATACATTTAATTTACATTTTTAATGTCAGTCTGGCCATAACACACAGGGGCGGATCTACCTAAAGGCTTTTTGGCAGGGCCCCGAGGAAACAAAGGACCACCAGTCCCCACTGAAACAATATTTAGAATATAAAAAAATATATAGAATTTTAAAAAACCTATCATAAGGTTGGCAACCCTGAGATCAATCAACCCATGCAAGTGCGCGTCTATCGAAAGGAACGGGGAATTTTTAGTCGCTTGTTTTTGGTATATTTTTTAGTTGAGTAATATAATTAGGTAGGCCCCTAAGTATATTAAGCCCAGGGCCCCACAAATTCACGATCCGCCCTGATAACACAAATCATTTAACCATCAAATTATTTAATTATTAAAACGAATTATTTAAGCAAATTTAAATTATTGTCGTTTAACTCTAAACTATATTAATACACTCCATAATGTATATACAAACTATATACGGTAGTCATAAATACAGTTATAAAATTGTTGATATGCATAAATGTAAAAAACTAACTAAAATACCGATTCCAGTAACTAAATAAAAAATGGGACCCATCTAAAATAATACTCGTTCAAATAAAATTTATTTTTATCAATTTTGTTTATAAATGACCGAGTTACGAAGTAACAATACATATAAAAAAAAGACGAGGATCTCCTCCTTTTTTGGAGGCGGTTAAAAAATGGCCTATATATTTATTGAATCAGTTCCCAAATATTATATATATGTAGGCATATATATATACAGGAGTTTATTTTTGTCTATATTGTTATCCCTTTGATTATTATTGGTTGTTTTTAAACTTTGTATTAATACTACTTTACTATTAAGTATAGTAGGAACTATAATTAAGACAAGTTATCATTACCTTTGACCTCAATGATCTGGCAGTTTAGCACACCGTTTTACATTCTAATGTCGCAGGTTCGATTCCTCGCATGATGAAAATATTATTATACATGAGTATGATTATATTGGTCTGAATGTACCGTATGTACTTATGAATGTATGTATATACTTACAAAAACAAATGTTAATAAGTATATGTCAGTTGTCTAATACCCATAATACAAGCTCTGCTTAGTTTGGGACTAGATGGCGCTGAGTGAATTGTTCAGGGGGTTACTATTATTACTTGTAAAAAACGTATTTTATTTCTATCAGTTGTCTAGTACCTAAGCAACTAAGCAGAGCTTGTGTTTACACACAAGTTCTGCTTAGCTTAGAACTAGATGGCGCTGTGGGAGTTATTAAAAATAACTTTTTATTTAGTCAGTTGTCTAGTACCTTAGGAAGTAGCTAAGCAGAGCTGCTTGGACTAGATGGCGCTCGCTGTGTATTGGTACTCGCCGTAAGGTTATTATTATTAGGGATGGTGGTGCTAGTCTGGTTTGGTCTTGTGCCTGTACGTGGGAGGGAGGGGCTCGGCCGCCGCGCGGGGGAACCAGCCGCGCGGGCCGCGGGGGGGCGCGGGGGGAGAGCCGGACGCGGACCACTCGCCCACCACCTCGCCGAACAGCCAGTGTCTATGGGAAAACGAATACGTAGCTTAATTTATGGTCAGTTCTTCAGTTCTTTTATGTGACGGTAGATTGAATTGTCAGTTCTTAATTCAAAAGCACTTGAAGTGATGGTAGATTAGACATATAAGAGTCCGTAATAGACCTACATGAATAAAGATATTTTGATTTTTATTATAGCAACATAAAAACACTTGATGGACTTTTTTTACATATTACCACAGAAACTATGATGTTAACATGTCGATCTATGTTTTGTCCACATTCTTATAAATGTAATTGTGTATTATTTATGACAATTTGAATAAACGTCGTATCTATCCATCTATTTCATTTGTTTTTATTCATTCATCATTGCACAATATTGAGATGTTTTTTAACCAACGATATCCAGCGTTCTTTCTTCTTATTGAACTATTATAACGCTATTTAGCCGCTGTGTGATCTCATATGGCTTTTACAGCTTAACCAGACGATTAAGGGCGAGTGTAGATGTCACTCTAGACGCACGAAAATACTAATGAAGGCCAACTCCTGCTAAAGTCATATGTACTTTAGTATAAGGGGTGCCCAAGGGGATAAAACCTCGGCTCTAGCCGTCGTACTTTTGATCCACGTTTGAATTGGATGGAAAATCGATGTTAGGGGCATATTCAGCGCTCCGAGGGGACGCAGTGTAGGGAGACGTACCTGCGCTGCCGCGTGACCGTGAGCAGCAGGCCGGGCCGCAGCGGCAGGCGCGGCTCGTCGCTGCAGGGCGCGGCGCCCCGAGTCAGTGTAGGGAGACGAACCTGCGCTGCCGCGTGACCGTGAGCAGCAGGCCGGGCCGCAGCGGCAGGCGCGGCTCGTCGCTGCAGGGCGCGGCGCCCCGAGTCAGTGTAGGGAGACGAACCTGCGCTGCCGCGTGACCGTGAGCAGCAGGCCGGGCCGCAGCGGCAGGCGCGGCTCGTCGCTGCAGGGCGCGGCGCCCCGAGTCAGTGTAGGGAGCCGTACCTGCGCTGCCGCGTGACCGTGAGCAGCAGGCCGGGCCGCAGCGGCAGGCGCGGCTCGTCGCTGCAGGGCGCGGCGCCCCGAGTCAGTGTAGGGAGACGTACCTGCGCTGCCGCGTGACCGTGAGCAGCAGGCCGGGCCGCAGCGGCAGGCGCGGCTCGTCGCTGCAGGGCGCGGCGCCCCGAGTCAGTGTAGGGAGACGTACCTGCGCTGCCGCGTGACCGTGAGCAGCAGGCCGGGCCGCAGCGGCAGGCGCGGCTCGTCGCTGCAGGGCGCGGCGCCCCGAGTCAGTGTAGGGAGACGTACCTGCGCTGCCGCGTGACCGTGAGCAGCAGGCCGGGCCGCAGCGGCAGGCGCGGCTCGTCGCTGCAGGGCGCGGCGGCGGCGGCCCGGGTGTACGTCACGAGCGGCACCCAGCGCCCCGAGTACGTCCGCGTGGCCGTGTACGGTCGCGACCGCAGACGCTTCTCCACTTTCTGAGCTTGCTGCTCGCGCTGCGAACGCATGTTATGAAGTTAGTTCCCCAATATTCTATACATACTCTCAATATATCTAAAGACCATCCAAAAAATATTACGAACTAATAAACAGACTAAGGAAAAATGGCTGTAGTTTATATGAGATCAAAATGGGACCGAGAGATCGAGATAGATCAGTTTACATACGATGAAAGGAGAAGCAAAAGATATACCAGCGAAATCTCTCTACAATCTTCTGAAACATCTTAGCCTATCTAGAACTGCAGTAAATATATTAGAACATTTATCTGAATGTCTCTGAAAGGTGAGTGTTTTCAATTCAAAATTCATAATTCTAGTACAATTATTTAAACAATTTATTAACATTGTTTATATTATAAAATGTTCAATCCAACCAATAAAGAAATAGAAGAACATGTATTTTTTTTTGTAAATATCAGAATCCTAGCATCATATGACTTCAGTGAACATATTTTTTTTGTCACTATCCCTAGCATCCAGTTCAGCTAGGTACGTCAGTTTATCTTCTCAACAAGCAAGAAAGATGCATGAAACTCAACTGGTACAATGTTATTATTTTTTTTACGTATTGCAATAGAGCAACAAGCACACATAACCTGCAAAGTTTTATAAACAACTTTAATTCGAAATATTTGGCGTTCCATTGTTACTGTCTACCCCAATCGCACACTATCATATAGATGTAAATATAAAATAAAATTTTATATGTATCTGATACTCACAGTCAAATCATATACCCCACAACCTTCTTTGAGAGGCCACCGAAGTCCATCGCATTTAGAACTGAACACAAGAGCCCAGTTCCTTCGCCATCCGAGGTCATATGGAAACACAAACTTCGGCAGGGCCTGCTCCTCGCGACGACTCACTGCTTTCTCGAGGATCCAGTCCTCGATTGTCGTCTGATTACGGAGGATACCGCGAATCTAGAATGTTTTTAAAACAATTATATTATTACCGACTTCGGTGGTCTAGCGGTCTAGCACACCGCTTTACAACCGATGGATGCGGGTTCGATTCCTCGCACGGCACAAACATTTGTATTCATGAGATTGTATCGGTCTGGGTGTTTTCTATGTATATTATGTATCAGTTGTCTAGTACCCATAACACAAGATTTAGCTAGCTTAACTTGGGTCTAGATGGCGCTGTGTGAATTGTCCTGAGAGTATTATTATATTATTATTACTAATTACTATTTTTTTTATTAGGTTGTTTGGGCTATTGTCAGGTGCATGGCGCTGTAGCACTGCGACTTACATAGATCTATTGTGCTCGTCCTTTTCAAAGTTCGCTACCTAGACCCGTCAGGGACAAGAATTGAAGGATATTCTTAGGAGCGATGGTTTTATCTCCTCGGGAAAGAGTGTAAACTTTCCAAAGGAGATATTTCGTTTATGCATGAGTGGGCCACAACCACATAGGATGTGTAGTGGCCTTTCCCCTTCAGTTTGGCAAAATCTGCAGATTTTTGTTGTGCATAGGCCTAGGTTTGCCATAATTAATTACTAGCTGATCCGTGCAACTTCGTCTGTATGGCAGTTGTCATTATGTTTGAGTTTCTTGCCAGTTTTTCTCAATTGATGAACTGAACGGTAGGTAAAAAATTTAAGTTCATAAGCGGCTAAAATGTCCTGCATGAATAAATTATTTTTGATTAAATAATGACTTACTTGGAAATATAAAAGAGCACCAACAGCCAATACCACGCCAACCGCCATGCCGATGGCGAGGAGTGTGAGCAGCAGGGTGGTCAGCGTCAGGTAGATCATGGGCTCGCGGCCCGTACCGTGGTGGATGTACCACACGCGGTGTATCGCGTGGTAAATACATATTGACAGAACCTGACAATAACCAGATGCAATATTACACTAAGATCCTCATTATCTATACATATAAATAAAATTGGTATGTCTGTTTGTAATATCATATGATGCATATGAATATAAACACGGTACATACACCAAAGAACATTTTCTACAATTTTTGTCTACCTGCCTGTTTATTCCAGCTAATCTCTGAAATAGCTGGACCGATTTTGACGGGACTTTTGTTGGCAGGTAGCTGATGTAATAAGGACTAACTTAGGCTACTTTTATTTTAGAAAAATAATGTTAAATTCCACACGGATTAAGTCGCGGGTACAGCTAGATAAAAGAATATATAAAATCATTCATTTACTATATTAGCTATAAATTTATTATTATTATATATATTTTTACTTGATGTTTAATTTTTTTTTTCTAATGTTTAATTATTAATTCCATTTTCTATATTATACACTTATGGCGTCTTACTTCCAGTGATGGTCGCGGGTACGATTCTTTGCATGGTACAAACATCTGTATTCATGAGCATAGTTTTTGCTCTTATATCCTCACATGATGGCTCTTTGACATCTTTGCAATTTCTCCCGCTGTTCTTTGAGATTGGATGTACACGGTCAAGTATTAAATGTGTTTTGTAAATATTGTCTCTCTAATATTTATTCTTTTGTTTATTTCTTTACACAAAACTTATTTTGTAAATAAAAAAAAAAATATTTTTATCACTTGTTTAGTATACATAACACAAGCTCTACTTAGCTTGGGACTAGATGGCGCTGTATGAATTGTCTTGAGGTATTATTAAATAAAAATTTCATAATAAAAGTAGCATAAGTAACTCTTTATAACATTAGGCATCTACGAGTGAAACCCCCGTCAAAATCGGTCCAACCGTTTCAGAGATATTTTTCTATGTATGTACTGCATATATTTTCATATGCATTTAGTAAAAAGCTGCTAATTTGAAATTACAAACAGTCACTTAAATTTTATATAATTGCATATTATTAGACAGATGTGCACAACTCGCCTATTCCATTCAGGGGCTTATCCTATAATGCCTTATTTTTTTTAACTGTTCACAGGCCGCCATCTTGTGCCCCACTACCCTCGAAAACCGGTAGTAATAACAATAGGTTTGTAGTAAACTTACTACAGACGCATGGAAGCAACCAACCACACCAGCCATCAGGAACGACGTGAAGTAAGAATGATTGGCGTGCCCCACGCAGCAGTTGATCCAGGGACAATGGTGGTCCATCTTCATGACGCAATGCCCACCTATCAAAACAAATCAAATCAAAAAGCATGAGATTTGTGCCGCATGTGAACATCAAGCCATTCTTTTTGTATTAATATACTTATAATTATTTTTAATTGGCACTGACTTCGCCTTTGTAGTACATGACCCTGAACTATTCCTTCCCCCACGCGTCGCATTTCACTGCAATACATCCCAGATCTTCTAATGCTAGTTCCAATTCTTGTAGCTTTCTATTGTCCTCAAAGTTCTAGTGTTTCACATATGTTGTTTACAGATTCAAATGAGAAGATTGCTTGTTTTCATTGAGTTAAAATAATCCATGACTTTATTTATTTTTTGATTAATGATTCTGAACGTTTCCGCTTGTCTCGATTTCTTCTGACTCTTTATTATCTTTGGGAAGTCTTCTGTTACATATATTTTATTATTATTCTTATTATTATTCTCTAGATATATTATTATTCTGTAGTTTAATTTCTTTTATATATATATATATATATATATAGGTGTCTATGTTTCACATTAAATGAAAATCGCGTACATGAACATGTATGGTCTATGCACGTTTGTCATTTAAGTAATTATTTATTGGCTTTGCTCAACAAATATAAATAAACTGATGTTTTATAATTATGTTACTATGTAACATAATTACCATAGTGAGTATTGCTGGCTGCTTGTCCACCATTTTTTTTTATAAAAATTTGACCATCTATCGTCATAACAAATTTCATCAAGATACTGTTTAGTCAGGAAAAGGTAACAAAGAGACACATTCTCATTTAAAATATTACTATACATATATCAATTCTGCATTATTTTAAAAGGAGATACAATAAAAACAAAAGATAGAAGATAGAAAAGCAAATGTTTTAATGCTAATGCAAACTCTTCCTACCTTTGGAAATAGATTATGACTAAAAAGAAAGTATGTAATAATAGATAGAAATAAGATATGAGAAGAAAAACTAAAGTTTGAAGATAGAAGAAAGCAGTAAACAAGTTGGTCTTAATGCTAATGCAATATCTTCCAGACAACCTTTAAAAATAGAGTATGACTAAAAATAAAGTAATGATAGATAGGAATAAGACAAAAGGAAAAACTAAAGTTTGAAGACAGAAGCAACTTAAATACAGAAGGTGATCTTATACATATAAATAAAATAGGAGTGTCTGTTTGTAATATTGAAATAACCGTTTTTTACTACATGCATGACTATAAATACCGTACATACACCAAAATAACATTTTTTACAATTTTTGTCTGTCTGTCTGTCGGTCTGTTTGTTCCGGCTAATCTCTGAAATGGCTGGACCGATTTTGACGGGACTTTTTGTGGCAGGTAGCTGATGTAATAAGGAGTAACTTAGGCTACTTCTATTTTAGAAAAATAAATTTCAATTCTAATGAAAACGCTAATACAATCTCTTCTAGACAACATTTGAAATTAGTGTAATGAGAGACTAAAAATAAAGTAATAATATAGTTACATTTTTTACAGTGGTGTGATCTGGGTGCTTTATATCCTTTGCATACTGTACAAAATTGTAGATACTGTGTGTCAGATTCCTTCTCCTGAAACCAATACACCAAGAAATAAATATCATCAGATTGCTTAGACTACTAATACAGGAACTGTATCTATTATGTCTGTACATAATCTATGCATATAAATAAAATTGGAGTGTCTGTTTGTAATATTGAAATAACCGTTTTTTACTACATAGATATGAATATATATACGGTACATATACCAAAATAATATTTTTTACAATTTTTGTCTGTCTGTTTGAACCAACTTTGACGGGACTTTTTTTGCCAGGTAGCTGATGTAACAAGGAGTAACTTAGGCTACTTTTATTTTAGAAAAATAAAGCTAAATTCCACATGGATGAAGTCGCGGGAACGGTTGGTATTATTATAAAATTATTCGAGTACCAGAAAAGGTAAGCTAAACAGAAACTCATATTATAAATAATAGATTAAAGGAGTCAATACTAGGAGAGGTTGCATTGTCAACAAAGTATGACTAATCCCTTGTATTGTGAATAATCCACTTACTTAAAACTTATTTTTCATATACTCATGAATGTATTTAAACCTTACTAATATTATAAATGTGAAAGTATGGATGTTTGTTATGCTTTCACACAAGAACTACTGAACCGATCATCATGAAATTTTGTACACATGTTCTTGCAGGTATGTAGAATGACAACAGGATACTGTTTATTAAAAAGAAACAAATATTTTTTGTCAAAATTAAATATCAAAAATATCAACATTTTGCTACTTCAGCGCCATCCTCGGCCAGTAATGAAGTTATTTAATGGATTCAATGTGAGCGAAGCCACTGGTAATAGCTGGTTTAATATCGATGTTTGTTTTGCATAATACTATTATATCACTATTTTTATTTATTATCAATAAGGTAATAGCAGAATATTTACTTATGTTTATCTTATATAATAATTTATATGCAGCTGCCAGCATCATTGTTATTGTGTTGTGATGTGTGATGTAATAAACGTTATTCTATTCTATTCTGTTTGTATATTTACATGTGTAAAGACTAAAAAAATTTAGTACTCACTGGTTTCCACCCTAATGGCACAAACCCTGGACCCTCAAGTAGTGACTGAAGGAAGTAGTACAGAGTGGCAGCAGCAAATCCCAGGAATATGATGGCATGTAGAGCACCTCCCAGAGTTTGTTGAGGTGGCCACCACATGCCCATTAGATGTACCATAGCCCATGTTATTAATTTTATTATACCTTAAAGAAGTAACAAAATATTTATGTACAGATTACAAGGAAAAATATTCACAATAATATCACAAATGATACATCATTGACAGCCTCAGTGGTCTAGTGGACATAGCTTACTTCAGATGGTCACAGTTTCAATTCCTAGCACAGTGCATACATTAATATTCATGAAATTGTTTGAATCAGTCTGCCAGGTGGATTCTATGTATATTATGTATGTATTTACAAAAAAAATATCTAAGTATTTATATCAGTTGTCAAGTACCTACACAAGCTTTGCTTACCATGGGACTAGATGGTGTATTAATTGTGAAAACATAAAAATCATCAAAAAATAGACAGATGCTCTGTGGTTTGTGAGGATAAGAGATTCCAATGACACAGAAGACAGGAAGAAATAGAAATATTCTTTATTCAAATAATCTTAACATAGGCACTTTTGAATAGTCATATTTTTTTATTCTACCACTCATTTGGAATGCACTCACCACAAGCAGAGTGAACAAGAAAGTTGCATGTTGATGTTTTAAATAAATGTTGTACAGCATTTTATTTTTAAGATTTTGAGTGAATACAAACTGTCACATAATAAAATTGATAATTCAAGCATGTCATTATACTGTAGGTACCTTTTTATAACTAAATTGCAGAACAGATTTAATAAAATTTGATGTAAAGATAGACTGTATCATGATAATGGACATATATTATCTTTTATTTAAAAAAGCAGCGTGACAAAAACAGAAGACGGAGCAGACAGACAGACTTTTGCATTTATAACTTTAGTATGAATTGATTTGAAGATTTACCTATTACAGCTAGCGGTCCCCAGTGAAATAGTCTCCTTAATGAAGATGATGCCATTTTATCATAGTAAGTACTGTATAACTAGGACAATAATATTTATTATACTTATTAATAGGGAAATTATAATAGTATCACATGGCACTTATTATAAAAATATCAAATAGTCAATAACATAGTGTTTAATCATCTAAAACTCGGCCAGGAGTTCAGAATAATAATGGTTATTTTGAATATACATTTATATACACATTGTTTGAATCTGTATATATTATTAATTGATCTGAATGATTCAGCTATTTTAAGACAGTCATGATTTTATTTTATTTTTGAAGTTAATTAATGCAATATAAATTAATTAAATACAGTATCAAAAAAATAAATGTCAACTGAATTCATGAATTGATAAGAAATATGGGCACAGATTAATACGAATGAGTGATTAGGTGATTACAATCAATGACAGCTCCACAGACAAAGTATTTGTAGATTTATATACTATGCGATTCCTAAGAACAAGTAATAAAATTTCTAACCAAAAACAATTATCAAAAGTAAACACATTTACGAGTAAGAAAAGAGAATATATACAAATGTCAACTCGAAATTTAGAACATATCTCCTTTGATGTTGTTAGTACATTAAGTAATTTTATTCCATAAGTTATAATAAAGTACATTCGTTTATAAAACATTAACAATGTAGATATATACAATACTTTAAAAAAGAATAGAAATATCTTAGATATTTTTTTTCTAAACTGTCAATGTGAATTACCTTTATTACAGACATTAAATATTGAATGTCTGTGAGCTAATTTAATAAAGTGTCATTCATATGTCAACACCGGCTACCACGTCACGCAGGCAGTTGTCACATCGCAATATTTTTGTGGCTCTAGGGCTAGGGTGTGTGCATTCTTTTAATGTGTTGTGCTACTTATGTGGATTATTAGGTGATATTCTTTTTTTAACGGGTAAGTTTTAATTAAATTATAAAATTTTACTTAACATTATTATACTTTCAAATATACATTTGTTCAGTGCAATCAAATTTTCTATTCGTTTCTCAACTCATAAATTTCCCCGCCGGTGACTGTAATTTTATTGTAATCGGTCACTACTGACTATTTTGTTTGAAAATATCTACAATACTAAATTAAATAGTGTCTGGTGGTTAATATACCAGTATAAGCCGCTAGTTTAGCTACAATTTCACATGAAAATGTCACGCGGCACACTGAATACTTGTCAGTTGGTCAGCTACGCTGCATTTTTGGTGTCAGTTTTCTTAAACGTTAATTTGTGTCGTTGCAGATAGTGATCCCAAACTGCCAAGATGCCGAAATCGGTGAGTTTTATAGTGTTTGTTTATGTGAGACAGGTTCTCTCGCGTCACAGCAGTAGGCCGAATGTGATCTCTTTATTGTATGCGTGATTTTGCTGATTTCACCATCGCAATGTGCTCAGACAACACATTAAGTCATTATACAAACATTATTGTACTTTTATTTTTTTATCGCAACATGCCACAGTGGCTTATAAGTCCTATAGGAATGTAGGTAACTCATCAAAATTCAATCTGTGCTGATACTGAGTAAGCATAAAGGTAAAAGTGAGAATGCTTCTGAGATTATAGACTGTAGTAGTATCTCACACCAGCAAACTATTACAACATTATGAGTTATCACTTGAAATAACATAGATAAGGTTAAGATATATTTCTGATTATACTGTACTTAAAGGGAATGAAATAGAGGAAAAAATAGATAAATGAAGATATGTTGCATTTGTATGGCTTATTTATTCATTGTAAATTGTATGTAATGTTTGTTATTTCTTGTAAATTTCTTTTTTTTAAATACTATAAAACTTGCAAATTTCCAAATTTCCAACATTCTTTTACTGTTTAATTAAAATATAATATTATTATTCTAATTTGCCTACATTAACCAAAAAAATAATATAATATATATAGCATAAAATTGTAAAAATAGTTATAAATGAAAGTACTTATTTTATAGCTTAATAAACATATTATTAATAGTATATTTTAATATATTCTTCTAATTGTTACTATATATATAATTAATATAATTTCTGATACATTCATATCTGTATATAATTAATTTATTATAATTTAACTGACATAAAATGTCTTATCTGATGCAGGTTGATAAAAATGTAGATATAGTATTTAGTACCTAGCTTCAAGCAGGTGTGATACAAGGTTACACTGTATCAAACCTAGAATCCCTATGCCACAGAGATTGACAGATTTGTATAAGGGTATAATGTAGGTCACATTAGAAATAAAATAAAATTTACATTCAAGTATTGATACTTCAACATAATTACTCAAGTATAGATGCCTCAGTTCTAGGGTGAGAAACAATAAAGTGTGACAAAGGATTGGAGGTATCATATAATAAAATATCATAAAATATAGTATCCTGGCATCCTCCTAGAAAGGATCTTTGATTTTGTGACATCTCATTTAATTTTAGTATTGAAACACAAATTTAACTATTAAAGTTAGAGGATCTGTGACAGAAGTCCTTCTATAATAGCTGGTCACACTCCGTTACTGAAAATTGACATAATTCAGGATTATATAATTTTGTTTTGTGACATCAATTTACATAGCATATATAATAGGTCACTACATTCACCTTTTTAAGTTTTAAATAGTATTATTACAATCGTGTATAATCTCATTTGAAAATAGATTATAGATATTGAAAATAGACAGAGATTTTTTATTAAATCTTCTCAGCTCAAAATGTATTCCTATCTGATGGTATGGGTTCATTTATCTTATATAAGTATTTGACCTTATTTGAGATAGACCTACATAAAGATATATTTTGATTTGGTTTAATCTACAATGTTTAATAAAGACCCTGTAATTTAAATTTGGAATTCTAGTTAATATTCAGCCTGCATTAGATATAGAACTTTGCTTTTATATATTATATATATTGTAGTATATGTATGTTATATATATGTTTTTATAATTATGTTTCAGATACTTAGTTACATAAGTAACGCACTTGATTTAAGTGGCAGTGATAATGTATTGGTTAGTTATAGTCAACAGATTTGACGTTTGATTTTCCTCTTTTTTGAGTTTTTGTTCAATTGCTACAGTTTTAGATATGCTGCTTGCAGGAAAAAACTTATATAGCGAGTACACAAAAGTTTTTGAGTTTGAGTAATCATTTGTTTGGTTTAATTGTTGAGTTTAACTCTGTTTGCATGTTGCTATGATGCCAAGGAACATGATATGTTAGTTTTAATTTGTTTTTTTTTTTAGTTTGCTTGCAAAGATCTCCTTTTGTAATGAACTTTCTTTCATTTTCTAGTGTAATGTGTTTTATATATAGGTTTTTTGCATAGTACTTTTTACTATTCATTCCTAAAGTTTTTATTTGTTTGTGAAGATATCCTTTTATAATGCATTTTCTAGTAGAATGTGTTTTATTCGTTATACATTTTATTATTAATTCATTTATATTAAATTACTTTTTATGGGCCCATTGATGTAGCATTTTGCACACTGCTTAACTTTCCGATGGTACCAAGTTCAATTCTTCGCACCATTCAAATATTTATATTCATGAGTATGATTGTTTGTATTGGTCTGGGTGTTTTGATGTATTTTATATATGTATTGAATTTTTTTAATACATACATAAATATTTAAGTATTTATATCAGTTGTCTAGTCCCAACAACGAAAGCCAAGCTTAAGAATACATGGCCCTGTGTGGCATTCAATCCACTATTAGTAGTTTTATTATTATTATTTGTTTTTAAATCAAATTCCATGCATTTTAGAATTTGGTAATATTGTAAGGAATTTTAGATTATGTTATCATAATTATAATAATTTATCAGTTATCATTGTTATTTATGCATGTTGTGATTATCATGCCTACATTATACATAGATAGGGTCTACTGAGCCCTAAATAATATATGATATTGTATATTTGTTATAGTCTAAATATAATTTAATTTATTTACACTATATAATTTAGTTAGAAATATAAGATACTAAATTAGTATTTCTGAAGTACTAAAGAACAAAACATAAATAAGAAAAATATATTTTTTTAATAGAGCTAACTTGTATTGCACAATAAATAAGCTTGTTTGACGTGACTTGGCTTGGATTAAGCTATTATTTTCTGTTTAGTATAGTATTATGAAGTTTAGGAAGTATGTTATATTAGTAGAAACATATCCACTAGTATGTAGTAGATTCTACTAGTATCTAGTAATAAGGTATATGTGCCTTGATGGATTAGTCATTCTGTATGTATGTGTATCCTTATTATAACATTCCAATCATTAAATTATGGGTACTAAGTGATTGATAGAAATACTTGCATTTTTAAACAGCCAGACTAATATAAACAATCATTCTAATGAATACAAATGTGTCTATTGTGCAAGGAATTGAACCTTCGACCACCGAGGATTAGCCGTTTAGAATTTTGCGACTACAGTGTGTATCGTAAAATTCTTTACTAAGATCTTTAGCTCTCTCAATCTTGATCTCCTTTATTAATGTACCAGCTGTCCCGGCAAACGTTGTTTTGCCTTAAAATAAAAAAATAAAATTAGGGGTGGACTACCCCTAACATTTAGGGGGATGAAAAATAGATGTTGGCCGATTCTCAGACCTACTCAATACGCTCACAAAATTTTATAAGAATCGGTCAAGCCGTTTCGGATGAGTATGGGAACGAAAACTGTGACACGAGAATTTTATATATAAGAATAGTCCCAAAATACTTTTTTTTTTTTTATTTTTTTTTTATTAAATATTAGGTTTAGGTTTTGAATATAGTTTTTATAATGCTTGAGATATAAAACTTCCATCTTCTAATGTTAATTTATCAATGTCATTTTTACTATTGTTATCATATAAAAATATTAATGTTGTTTTGGTATTGTGAGCATGATAATATTGATTGATACCTTCATACCACATTGATCGGTATTTAATTCATTTGTTTTTTTTACTATTGTTGACGTATACATGTTGTTGTGTTGTATACACTTTTGATGATTATTTCCAAGATAATTGATTGTAAAATTTGATTACCATAAATTTTAGCATATTTAATAATGTCACGAATGATATACCAAATGAGGTAGTCAATTATAATAATAATGATATTAATAATAATCTCAGGACAATTCGATGGCGCTAGGTGACTTAACTTGGGTTAGCTAGCTTAACTTGGGTCTAGACCCAAGTTAAGCTAGCTAAAGCTTGTGTTATGGGTACTAGATACATGTACATAGATTTTGTTTTTGTAAATACATACATATTATACATAGAAAACACCCAGACCGATACAAACAATCATACTCATGAATACAAATGTTTGTGCCGTGCGAGGAATCGAACCCGCGATCATCGGTCGTAAAGCGGTGTGCTAGACCGCTAGACCAATGAGGCCGTTATTTAATGAATTGGTAGTAAAATTTAATTATCATAAATTTTTGTATATTTAATAATGTATTTAACCTTCACGAATGACACACCAAATAAGGTAGTCAGAAGCATTTTGACCTGTTGTCGTTGTAGTAAACAAGTGATACACTTGATATGCTGAAATTTCGCTATGCCTATTAATATCCAACGTGGCAGGAGGCAAGCCTACCGCCGCCACTAGTTTGTTTTCATAAGTTTTGAATTGCTATCAGTGTTCCTATTATACGAGAGCTAGTCGTATTTTTAACTTAAACCGACACAAAAAATTTGTTTGTCTGATTCGAAATGACGATATTTTTTATTATTTAAAGGATGATAATGGAATGATGCACCCGCCTGCGCTAACGGTTTACGCTGGCGGGCACCAGTGGAGGATGATAGGATGAACATGAAGTCAGATCAGTTAGCCCAACGTTACAAATTCACCGGGATGTATCACGATGGTTTCCAGGGGTAACCGCGTGGAGGTCGATCTGACATGGTACATCGCTAGCAATGGGATCATCAGTCCACATCACTAACAATCTCCTTCCCCCCAATGGCGATATTTCGGTGTTTAAGTCGTAGTAGTACTAGGCCAGGCCGGTCTCTGATGTTTTGTTATTGGTCTGGGGCTGTTCAAGTATTACGTAAGCAGATTTATCACAATTATTTACCACCCATCCCCCTTGTCAGCAAAAGTAAGCAAAGCTCTTACCCCCTCCACCCATGCTTACGTAAACATTTCTTAATTAATGTATTGTTTTTTTAGCAAAGACAATGTGAGGGTTGCCATTCGTGTAAAAAAGTAAATTACGACCAATGACGTAATCATCATACAGACTCCCCCACCCCCATGTCATCCAAAATAAGCAAAGAAAAGACCCCCCGCCCCCCTATAGTGCTTACGTAATACTTGAACGGCCCCTCTGAATTAGGTACCCATTGGTCAAAGAACATATGAGATTAAAATCCTTATTATCAAATTCGACGGGTGGTAGTCAATATTAGCAGGCAACACCGCTAGATGTAACATATGTGGCATAGTCATAAACGTATTTCTCGAAAGATTCAAATTTTGCAATGGATTATAATTGAAAGGCGCTTGTACCTGCGGTAACAGTTTACTCTGGCAGATGATAAGAAGTGAGAGAACCAGTTGAAGATGATAAGATGAGCATTCGGCTGTTCTGGCAGAATTCTCATCTTAACATCAGTATTAGCCCATCGTAGCAAACTCACGAAGAATTTATCACGTTGGTTTCCATAGGGAACCTCGTGGAGGTAAAAAAATTATGGTACATTGCTTCCAATAGGATCAATTACTTCACAGTACTTACAATCCTTTTCCCTGCGAAAGAATTCCATTAATGTGGACATGGAAATGTTTATTTGTGTGGGCAGACGGAAAGCTGTACAAGTGTGCCAAAGCGAGGAAATGGGAAAGTAGGCCAGCCTTTATCTAGTTATTGGACACTGCACTCGACGTGCACCACTCATGCTTCTCTCTATATTATTATACTAGTTGCATCTAGGAATGTGGAAAATTGTAGATTGTGGAAGATAACTCGTATTTTATTAATCAATAAAGTAATTAACAAAACAAACACTTTTACCCTTTTTTAGTGACTGTAAAATTCCTCTATTTTTAACACTCGCTAAAAAAGGAAAAAGTAATAAAGTGCAGGTATTTGGTCCCCAAAAAAAGATACAAAGGTCTGGAAACAAGAACAGTCAATTAAAAATACCAAATTAGCTAGAAAAAAGGTATTTCAATTTTATACCAATACTGGTTTTAAATTAAAAAAGTAATTTATAGATGTAAGACATTTTTTCGAAACGGCATCGGTCTCTGCAATAGTATTCTAAAGAACCCTTTAAATGGAAAGGCCATCAAAATTATAAATATAGTGAATGTTGGCCCTAAAGAGAGAAATGTACCAAAGTTTAGATATTATGTATTGTTGCACCGATGGGGGTGGCATATTCTCCGGAATAAACCCTCATTAAACCATATTCAAAAGAATAAAAAAAATACATTTTTGCCCCAGAAATATATAGAATTGAATTGCATGCCAATTTTATATACTTCTTTTGTGCTACCGTCAGGTAGGCTAGTGATTCAGTAGACAAGATTCCCTTTCGTTTCTCACTTTTTGGCATTAGGTCATAACTATGACAAAATGATTTCATTGGACCACATATCATATTGAAATTACCTGGAATCAAAATGACTAATATTTTTAAACTGGTGACATCATTTGAGCGAAGATATATGACATTACATATATTCATAATTTCATACTTAATGAAATAGGTTAGTATTTCATTAAGTATGAAATTATGAATATAATGTCATATCATTATTGACTAATTAATTTACTTTTAGAAACAAGATATTTCACAAAAACAAACAAAAAGTTAACTAAACTCGCTACACAATTCCACCAAGTCTTATTCTTATAATTATAGACATAAAAACCAACCAGCAAAAAACATAACCCACGACATACCTACCGGTAACGGGTGAAGTTGCACCAGACAAATGTACAGCATACAGCGAATCATATTTATCTATAGAAAAAGACAATAATGTAAAGACAATTTTCCGCACGTTCAGCCTACCTGGAATTGTATTGTTGTTGTACAGTCTCACAAATCAACTTGAATACACAGCCTCTATGAGAAACGCACGATAACATAGTTTAATAGTATTGTAGGCTTCATTTGATCACGATTCAATTTAGCTGCTGGAAAAAAAGCGAAACTGTGGCGCCTTCGCCTCAGGAACTACACTTGCCAGCAATAAGGCGTCCGTTTCGTTTTCGTTGGATATGAAAGAGATGGAAGAGCATCGGTCGAAGTTCGGGTATCGTGCAGACTTGCGCATGCGGCCTTGAGCTTGGGGCGCACGCGCATCCCCGCGGCCGCGACCGTTCGTTCCGTTCAGTTCAAATACTACCGCCGCGTCCGGTAGACGCGGCTATAGTGCCGCCTAACCCTTACCCCCTTGTAACCCCATAATAGTGTGTGTGTCTTTTCCCTGTGCTTGTGTTTAATAATATCACCATGGTAGCCGGAGGAAAACAGGTACGATGCAATCTACACTCGGCATATTAGCAAGATCTTACACCTGGCGGAGGCTGGAGGAAATAATATTTAATTAACATATTAGCACACTACTCATGTATTAAGGGTGTTATTATATTATCAAGATCTAGATACATTTGCAATTGAATCTCTTACATAATTAATTTATATCTTTTATAGTTTATGGATAATCTAGTGAGATAATCAGTGTATAAACCTCTAAAAATGGCTGCTATTACAATTCCTTGGTACACATAATACACTGTAATTCATCCTTCTCGATAGAGTAGGATACATCTCAATTTTCAGGAATTTCTTTTAATCTATGAAATTTTAATTTAAAATATCAATTTCTTACTAAATTCTCCCAAACCTAAAACTATAGCTAAAATAAAAAAAAAAACTTATAATATTGTTGATGGAGATATAATGATAAATTACTTTCATGTCATGTCAAGAGTCTGTTAAAGTCCAAAGTCAAGTTATGTCATGAAAGATTCTTAACCAAATATGTGACAATAGGTATCTTACATAAACATAGCAACTGACTTCGAAGCAGTTAGCAATATCTAATGCTTTGTCAATCGAGTATATTACTTGTGAAGTTATGTTTAGATCCTATAGAGATGTTGACTCAAATCATAAGTTACGGTGATGTCATCATGGTGTAAACTTGGAACAGGCAAGACGGTTACGCCTGTAGCCTTATTATTTGTTTTGCAGTGCAAACGGTCGTAACCGTCTTTTTGTTCCCCATCCTTATCCTCCACGCATATATGAAAGAGAAAGATATATTTTCCTGTTTTATTCAAGGATTCTTCATTCTCGATTTCGTTTGGAACTAGCTCGTTGTATAAGTATAAGTTTCGCCATTCATTTGTATAATATATATTGTTTTTCCTTTTATGACATTAGCAATGTCATTGAAATTATCACTTACGCAAGCAATAGTAACATGCAGAATCATTATAATCACCATTATCAAATTCACGTAAACTTTATCTAATCATCCTGAAATGACTTTCTGCGATAGTAATCTTAAAACGAAACGACGAATAAATTTAGTGCCCTTGTAATAAGTCCCTATGTTACCCTTATGGGATGTTACTTGACTGTTATAGTTAGCAAATGTTGAAACAATAGCTCCTCATTTATTTTATTATATACCTAGTTATTTAAGTAGATATTTTTTGTTATAAACTTACCTGAAACATCCGTCTAATGACGCTCACAGTTGGATTTTCAAGGTTTTTCCTTAAGCTTGTGTGTCGTGGCCGCAGAACATTACCTAATCACAAATCACTGTAAATTTATTGAAATTTATGACCATGGCAATCGCTTACTGAAAATATCATGTCATATTTATGTTAAAGCAAAATAAAGTTTTAGTTATAATTTTGAATTTTAAATTATAGATGCTGTTAGATTAAGTACCTATTTACTTAAAATGGCATCCAAAATACTACACTCATTTGTATATAGGGTATATACAAATGAGTATATTCTTCAGGAGTCAGTGAATATTAAAAATCGCTCATCAGATTTTTTCCCTGTAATGTACTCATTTTCTATCAGTAGCAGTCAACAGTAATTTGCTGGCGTCAGTGTACCGCGTCACTCATTCATGACATAAGTACTTGTGTATGTGTACTTGAAATTAATTTGACGGTCGATATGCTTTATGCTTATATTGTGCCGTTTCACTTCGTTTCACGCACTCACATAGTGCGATTTCTACAGTTGGGCCCATTTCTTTTTTATCAACTTTTTAAATTCGCCAGTTTTTACTTTCGCGTGATACTACTGTTTCTGACATTGGATTGTTACTATCTTTATATTTTAGTCTTCTACCCAACAATTATTGAGTTGTGCCAATAAAAATAAATTAAATATGTCACTATGCTGTAACTTCTATAGAAATACAATTATTTTTGTCTCCTATTGACATAAATTAAAACCCATTACAAATTACTGATTTTCACTACTGTTTTACGCCTTTCTCTTAAATTAGGAAACTAGCTTATGGAACAAGTATCTCCAATATCTACAATAGTGAAGTTTTATCTTTTTATGAATAAGATTAGAGGAAATAAACTGAAATGAAAGTCTTATTGACCATTTTACCTCTAGGGCTTCTACCTATCTTTAAAACAACAGACGAATTAAGGTTAATTCGTAAAATTGCCAAACATACGCAAGCTGATATCCAATAGCCACGTGTTGCACCCACCTGTCTTGCACCTGTCGGTCTCATCGTTATATCAACCCCTACCGAAGTTACATAAAAGAATTTAAATTAAACATCGAATATTAAATTTATCTGTTTGAAAGACTTACAGTTACTTTTACCATGATTCGGAAGGTGTTACGTTGCAGCAAAATATTGTCTATCAGAAAGAATCTTTAAGTTTGTAATATGTTTTCGTCATGATTGTATAAAAAGATATCATGCATCATTTGCATGTGCAACTTTATGAAAAATATTTTAACTGCTTAATTGTTTAACCCTAATCTGTATAATAATCTGCAGTTGTAACTTTTTCAAACATACATTTAAATTTCTAAGAAGGAAGTGAATTATATTAATTGTTGTTATTTTACAATTTACACCAAAGGCTTTTTATAACAACAGCAGTGCTTAATTTTGATCTGTCATTGTTCATCCATTAGATATGTACTAGAATGATGGTAATTATTATTATAAATGGTCGCCTTGGATCCACAACATTGTGGCTGTACACGACTTCCTAGTTTGATAGCAAATCGTGTACAAGGACGTGCATCATCATTCTGTCATCATAATAAGGAGCTACAACCGTTTCATTAGCAACTATTATGTTTTCTAATTATTTACTGTCATCGACATTATCATTTCAAGTGGTACTTACGTACTACTTAATTACTAGGTCAGCTGATCATTCATACATTTTTCAAGTTATGTAACTCCATTAGAATTTTATACCATAGAATTTTCTATAATAGTTAGTATTTCCTGAATTACACTTTTAGTTTTTAATTTATGACTATTACATAATAGAGTATTCGCCTTCGGTATGATGTAGGAAGAATTATACAGACGAGCGCTTGATTCGTATTTATTTTTTTTATATCAAGAAATAAATAAGGACTACAAATGTAAGGTGAATGACTTATACCGTTTTTACCTAATATTTTTAGACTATTTTAATAATAATATTAACCCTGGACAGAGTTCCAAAGTAAGCAAACTGAGTATACTTTAGAAACAATTTTTGTAAATAGGTACATAATGTACATAGAAAACACCCAGACAAACAATCGTATTCATGAATACAAATGTTTGCACTTTGCTAGGAGTTGAACCCACAACTATCGGAATTAAAGCAGTGTGCTAAACTATTACACCGCTGAGGCTGTCGATGTGCAAAAATGATGAAATTAATTCTGCCAATCTAAGAAGTATTGATTAGGCTTAATTAGATCTATTAAGTTAGTACAAGTAGATAGTAAGTACTATAATCTTTGGGAATTTAATTTGATTCTGAAAATGATAATTACACAGTCGACAATAAAAAAATTAGTGAAATGTTATATAACGGTAAGAAGTCCAGTTAAGACCTGACGGGTCTGGGTAGATCTATGTTAGTCGCAATGCTACAGGTTTAATTAGCTGACAATAGCCCAAAACACCCTATAAAAAAAGTCCGATTCAAATTAAAATAGAAATTTCTTTAATTGCCACAGAATGATTAATTTAGCTATATTCTCTATAACAGTGTAGTTTGACGACAACTTACTCGAACGATGTCATAATCCTATTAATAGCTAGAGGCTCACATGGTCGCCACACGTAATTCGTCGCGTTTCAGTGTCTACATCTAGTTGCTTGATGATGTCACCCTCATGTGTTACAAATATGCGAAATGCATTACACTTGACTGTAATATTACAACTATTAATTTTGATATGCCACTTTTGGTTCTCGAGAGACGTAATTTTGCCCATAAATCATATAAGTTCTATATTAAAGGTTTATTACGTAAATGTTGGTTACGTAATATCGATTGATCACTTTGCAAATAGTCATAGATACAACTAAAATTTGTACTATGGTATTTCAAAGAAATATTAACAAAGATTGAATCCGGTTTGTCATAAGATTTACTTGTCTTTTCTTACATTTATTATTTGTACTGTTGTGACCCATACACCACTTTCTGTGTTACGCAGTTTTACGTTGATTGGAAGAATCTTTTTGAGAAATAAGTCTTCCTTTGCTAACAAAATTTCTTATTTGTATTTAAAAGTGCAATAAAGAATATATAAGATTTAGGCTATTCGATTCCATTTTTTTTTATTATTGACTTAAAATGTCTTTTATTACAGCCTGATTTTAAACATCATTATTTTTATAAATATTACGATCCTGCCAGTCTCCGTAAACAGTTAGTACATTGTCAACCACTTCTGTCCTTAGACAGGTAAATTTATTACTTATTCTATTATTATTACCTCGTTATTATCGCAATATGCTTGCTTAGCAATATAATAGCGAGTAGGTTTTACTGATGAGGTGTTTACCGAAATTTTCCTGTTTATATTGTCTACTCCATGTCAACCTTGCCAGCACGTTTGTTCCCTTGACACCGTACACTGAATAAAGCATTGGAATTTTGATACCTCCACACACAAGCTTTCTTATTTACGTTTTCTCTTTATATCTTGGTTTCTGCGCCAACGTGTCTGTCATTTTCAATTGCAAGTGTTTGTCTATTACGTGTTGTTTTATTATTATTAGTAATTAATTATAAATTCCACTACATTTTACTTTTCTAATTTCAATATTGACATGGTGGAGCGGGTCGTAATAGTATTCTCCATTATATTTCTTATGTAAGCAGATATTTGATATGAAAACATCTATTCGTAATGTAAACAGTAGTTTAATTGTAATAAAGATGTTAAATTGACACTGGAGAATTTACTTTTAGAGACAAGTTGAGTCAACTTAGATTCAACCC